CTTGATGGTTTCGACGGTGCCTGTTCTCTCATGCCGCGAGGTGAGCGTGCACTGCTTGCGATCCAGGATGAACTGGATTTCATCGCCACTGCGCCATTTCTGACTGGGCCAGGCGCCCTCGGTATGGTCACAGCTGCTAAAGCCGTTCCAGCCGAAGCACGGCTTCATTTCCCTGGACGAGTGCAACGCGACATCCATATCCAGGTCGATTCTAGCATCCGTGACCGTGCCGAGGCAGACGTACACCTCGCCCACTTTGGTCCAATCTACTCGCACGCGTAGCTGATCGACAGGTCCGTTCAGCGTGTGCCGCACGAACGCCGCACCGTACTCGCCCGCCCGGTTGCACACACAGTGAGCGTTGTCCGACACGTCCAGCCTGCTGCTCAGGCATCTCACGTTGAACGACGGACGATCGTTCACTCGCAGCGGGCACGAGGTGAATGGCACGCTGATGTCGCCGACGCTCGCGTACAGCAGGAACTCTCCGCTGGCCGGGGGGCAAAACGATGCTCTCAAGTGTCGGGGTCGCGGCGGCAGGGGTGGGCACAGCACAAAGTTGCATTCGGGCGACCCTCCGCGGATCTCGACACCGAGGTCCCGTGCCTCGTCCGTCGTGAACAGCATCTGCTTTCCGCTTTCCACGAACTCAAGGGAAACCTCGATGTCTTCATTCACCCGTCCAGTTGGCGAGGCGCACTGAAGAAAGCCGTGAGCCAGGTCCGTTACACCTCCAGCTTCACGTATTGCGTCCACAACTTGCTGCGTGTTCGGCCGGACAAACACGATTCCCGAAGGAACGCGCACTTCTAGCCCGCGGTCTTTGTACTCCGAGGCGAATTCCTCCGCTCTCCTAAGAGCAATATCCAACCAGTTCATCAGTTTCAGACTATCCACGTCGTCATGGCAGCACAGTGCTGCTCCCTCAGCCGAGTTGACCTGACGAAGCACGTCCTGTAAGACACTCAGCTCCTTTTCTAACTCCAACACTTTCTCCAAGCGGACTTGATTCAAGCCATCTAGGAGTGCTTCTTCCCTCTCTCTCAGCAGTTTCATCAGGTACGCAAAGAACTTGCCAACCTTCTCGGACGCCACCTCGGCCTGATCGTTCACGTGCTTAATGTCATTAAGTACACACTCAACAGCAGCGCTAAGAGTGTCCTTGTCCTCTGCAACCGTGCGCCTGAAGTCCTCGAAGTGTCCCCGGATCTGAGAAGACAGCTGGTCTATTTCGCTGACAGGGTGACCGAGTTCTTTGTGCTCGCTGGATTCTAGGCAACGATCGCACATTACCTGATAGCACTGTGTGCAGAAATGATCTAGACTGGCAGATTTGTGTAGTCCGCACTTTTGCCTGGCGTGCTGTCCAGTATTGCCAGCAGCAGCAGCACCACCACCACCACCACCAGCACTGCTGCTCCCGCTGCTGCTCTGTTCCACTGCCCCCATTGCTGTAGTTTCCTGCAGTGACGACACACGGTGGCCGCTGGTGGAGCGCGAGAGCGGGTGCGACAGGGCGTGCGTGGCGCACAGCTGCACCTGGCAATCGCGGCATGTAGCAGTGGCCGGACTCTCCGCTGCACACTCGCCACAGAAGTACCGCTGCTGCTGGGACTGCAGTGCCGTCGTCGTCGTTCCGTCGTCCTCCTTCTCCAGGGCAGCAATGCATCTGGGCGCGTTGGGCAGAGCATACTGCGCACCAACACCGGGCGGCAGTTGCGTGCTGGTCTGACATCCAGGGCACTTGATGGAGCCGTCGGAGCGAGTCGTTTCCTCCAGGCACTGGTCACAGAGTGCGTGCAGACAAGCGATCAGCTTCCTCCTTCTGTGCTGTCTTTCGCATGAGATGCACGCCCACAGTTTGGCCGACATGGTCGATGCGAACACCAGTACTGCAACTACACAGTCAAGAGTATCACAGGTCGAGGCTGCCACGTAGGCTGTTGTCGTCACGGAGTGCCGGCGTGTTCGACGGTGCACCGGTGCCGGTGGTGTTCTCGCCGGTGCGACGCGCCGCTGAGAGGAAACTGCGGAACGATGATTCTTATCCGAGTCGACCTATGGGCTATGGCAGCACTTGTATCCTAGGCAGACGCCGGTAACTAACTACTTACTTGCTTTGCGTGTCTGCTCACAGATAATCTCGACCCGGCACGCAGGTTGCACGGAGGCCAACACGAAACGCTCAGAGAAGTGGAGCGAGGAGAACCGCTTGGAAGTTGGAGCGGCGATGGGAGGCTCGACGTGTGTTCTTCCGCCCTACAAGCTGTCTGTTAGGCCGCGGGGAAGATGCTACAAATTTGCAGGAGTATATCGGTGGAGCAGTGCCCAGCTAGAGAAGAACGAGGTGCAGCACTGTCGAAGCTCAGAGACGAATGAAGATCTCCTGCCGCCGTCCAGCCTTGCGTGGTGCTAACGCTAGAATACAGTTCACTGTTCAGCTTCGCTCCTCCCAAGTACTACTAGGCCACACCAGCGCACGTGGTATATCCCAGCAACTAGGCTAGCGCTAATAAGTAATGCGTCAGGGTAGTCTAGCTTGGGCCTTGGGGTCGTATCCGCTGGCGCTGGATCGAGTGAAGGATTTTCATTCTTATATCCTTGTCTTTTATGTTTCCTAGGCCCAGTTGAAGACCCGACACTCGACAGCGATCCCGAGCTCGATCCCGAGCTAGCTCGGGATCGCCGAGCTGGCTCGGGATCGCCGAGTTGGCTCGGGATCGCAACAGGAGCCAAGCCCAAGCCAAGGTCTAAGCCGACACTGCGCATGCGCGATAGCACATCCAGTAGATCTAACTGTTACGAGAGTACGAGCGATTCTCAAAAGTCACAAGGAACAAGTTAGTTCGCTAGCCAGACTGTGTACACCCACGATAAAGGCTGGGCGAGTTTCGGGCTCTCAGGCCCCATATGGCCATATGTACTACAGTACACTGCATTTCAATCTGACAATCATTTACACGCCACTTGCAAGTGATCGTACCACGTACCACCGCAAAGCTACGCGATACACAGTACAGGTGCGTGCACGCGTGTGCGGACAATCTAGCATGGCATGGCCATAATGGTAGACTACATGTACAATGCCATGGACATGGTGTGTAGATCAACTACATTCCAGTGCCTGTAAGGCTGTAGGCTGTACTAGTACGAGCACTAGTAGACTGTAGTCTGTAGTGGACATGGAAATCCAGTCGATTGACCTGGGCCGGCGCCCTCACGTACAGAACGCTGTGCGCAGTGCACAAATCACAATCATGTTGTTGATCCGATGGGACCAGCGCGCTGCAGCGCATGAATGCATGTGTGTACCGCTTCCCACGGCTGCATGGCCAGCGCCCTGAGGACGCTAGATGTGCGACCGGATTTCCATGTCCACAACAGTAGTACAAGGACCACCATTAGGCATTACTGCTAATAGTAATACTGGCATTACACAATGATTACAGGCATTAGTATTACAAAGTCATGGTGACATAGCAGACGAGAAGACTCGATGGCGCGGCGCTGTTCACCATGCTCGCGCTCGTACCACTGTCGCGTCAGTTGATTTCGGATAAAGCCTTTCACTTTCAGTGACTTTCATCAGTGTCCGTAGTCAGCGTAGATCACATGTGCAAAAAGAACAATCACAAGCTATGAACAAGAGTGCATTATGGACTCTTGATATGAAGTTCTAGCATAAGAGAGTAATTAGTTACCGGTGTGTCGGATATCTGAGCGCACCATGTGTCGCTTTGCCGAGTTTGCGTTTCGATTCTCCGTGCACGCGTGAACCTCGGAAACTGAAAGAGAGGATCTGACCACAGCACAAGGTGACACTGACAGCTACGGCTAAGCACAGCTGTACCGCTGCAATCAGTCTACATAACAGGCCGGACAACAACAATGCAGCCTTATTCGTAACGACATACAGCTGCAGTACTCTTTTACACACTACAGTGCTGGCAAATCCGACCCCCTGAGCGGTGGGTTCACATTCTTTGCGATGTGAGCGCACCACTGAGGGGGTCGGATTTCAGTTGCCAGCAGTGTACTTTTCTGCCTATACAGTCATAATAATAGGCCATCTGGTCAGCAGTGCAGTGCGTGGCTGAGACTGTGAGTGTGAGAGCTGGGACTCAATAGTGACCAGAGAACAAACCAGGGGGCTGTACAACTCCCTGAAACAAACCAACCAGGCCAGGATGATCACACCTGCATGCGGTGTACTCACTGAACTAACTAATTACTTACTTACTTTTCGAGGACAAGGTGGCATGTGTTGATCATGAGTCAGGACATAATTATAATAATATCTACATGATCATACCACCAAGGCACACACTACTGCACTACTGGTACAGCACTACACTACAGTAGTACAGTCATCTGCCACATGCACACGGCTATGTTCCCGAATATCAGAAGCACGCTTTTGCCCGCTCGTTTGTTTGTGTCACAGTGTGTATGCACGCGCGTGTGTGTGTGTCACAGTGTGTGTGTGTGTGCATGTGTGTGTGTGTGTGGGGGGGGGGTGTATGTGTGTGTGCATGTGTGTGTGTGTGCATGTGTGTGTGTGCATGTGTGTGTGTATGTGTGTGTGTATGTGCATGTGTGTGTGCATGTGTGTGTGTATGTGTGTGTGTGTGTGTGTGTGTGTATGTGTGTGTGTGTATGTGTGTGTGCGTGTTTTTCTGTGCACAAGTACTGTATAATGACTGGAACGATTCGGCAGAAACTCAGTGAAGAAGGGGGGGGGGGGGGGGGTGACTTATAATCCAGAAGGACTATAAATCGGGGAAATACCGTGTGTATAGTGCCTTGTTTCAAAGTCGGTGTGTTGCACTACCGGTATGTTGCCCTGTTGTTTCTTCATTCAACAACGAAGACTGGAATATGCCCCTGCGCCTGACACCAGGCCAAGCATGATGTGCCAGCATACATGGCACGCCCGCACGCGAACCCACACATACATGTACAAGTAGTTGTAGTAGCAGTACAACAGCAGCAACACGCCATAAACACAACCACAACCATGATGAGCTGCAAGTCGGTCTGTGTTCTATCCAGGACAGTGGGTGTGCTGTCTAGCATTGCCCGGCATGATGATAATCATGTAACGTGTGGTGTATGCCAGTAGTCGTAGTGACTCTAGTTGGTCGGGTAAGGAAGAGGCACGGTGTAAATACATCTACTGCTGCATTCCGGCGATGATTTCTACTAATTTGCTAGTCTCAACCAGTGCGCAAGTCTCAATGGACTTGAGTATAACATGTACAATAAGGAATGCAATGAGTCTGTGGAAGAAGAGCAACACATCATCGACATCGTTCTTGCAAGCTCTGCTAGCAAGGCTGCTGCAAGCGCCAGCGATTGCGACGTCGACAATGGTAATTAGTATAAATACCGGTATCAAAAGTCATAATAATATAATCAATAATATTATGACGGTGTACTTGAATAGCAAGCGGGCGGCCAAGGGCTGCAGTGATTGCCAACAGTCCAACCTGTGGACGGAACAATCCTAATATACGCAAATCGATCTGCATAAATACACTAGATAGAGTAGCAAGTCGGGGAGGTCATGTTGCCGTTTGGAAGCACGCAATTCTCTGACTGCAGAAGCAACTAGCCCCGCCGACTGCACGGCACCTACTTCTTCTTTAGCTTGAACAGTGCTCCGTAGCTGGCCTTCCCGCTGTCCCGCGGGTCAGATGCTGCATAGATGCGCCGGGGGTCACTATTGTCTTGGTACACGGCAGATGAATGGCCGATGGAGCGGTTGGTGACCAGGATCGAGTGTCCAAGGCTACGCAGTCCAGCGATGGCCTCCTCTGAGAATCCCTCTGCCGCATTCACAAGAAGTGACGGGGACACTAGAGGTTATGCCAAATCAATGCTTCATATCAGTTGAGGAGTTTTAAAGCCTGGGAAGAAGTCTGAAAAACGTTGCCTGTCACCACCAGGACTCGAACCAGGGACCTTCCAGGGACTAATTTAACCGGTATCGCATCGCAATTTGCGACGCAAAACACAGTGTCTGCGATTCGAAGTTCGTAGTGAGTCGCGGTAAACTGCGACACAACATACAGCTAAGTATGGCCCTGGACATAGACTTGTACTTGTAGTGCACGCGTAGCGCATGCACATGTGTAGCTTTACAGTGTCAGTGTGTGTGGCTGGTTTGGCGCCACGAGATGGCGCGCCATGCACTGTGACTAGATTAGACTGTGTGTGTGTGGTTGTCCAGCCGGCCTGCACTAGCTGCACTGCATGTGCAGGTAGATTTTACACCATATATAATGCATAGGTCTACATGGTCTACGCACGCGCGCGGGCCGTGGGACCATGGGCATGGCCATATATGCATATGTCACACTATCTCCGCACGCGCACCGCATGCACGTGCACTTGGAAACTAACTAACTAATTATTATTTTACTTGAAGTGCAGCCCAGGAAGCACGAGGTGAGTGTCGACAAGTACTTCACCTGCTTTTGAGATTTAGACCGCGTTGCTGCACTAGCAGTAGGCGTCTCGACCGTTCAGGACTTATCTTTGTAAAATTCTGCTAGCCTTATTGATGAAGCCTCTTCACTGCCGGCATGTCTGTGAAGCAAGGTACTTTGGACAAGTGGATTGCTGAATTTGATCCCAAAAAAGAATGGATTCGCGCAGAGTCGAGTGGTGGAGCTGTGACCAAGATATTTTGCAAGATGTGCAGGGAGAAGGCGTCCTCGCTTCGTCGTTTGAGGCAGCATGGCGTTTGTTGACGGTATAAGTGGAAGTGCACTGAAGACTGCATTGTCGACGGAAAAAAACTGCTATGCAAAATTGTTGCGTTGCTATGCAAACATCGAGGTGTGTAGCAATTATTGCTATGCAATTTTTTTGAAGTAAATTAGTCCCTGCCTTCGCTTGAGGCCAGCGATGCTCTAGCCACTGAGCTATGGTGCAGCTGTCATCCCAGCAGCGGTCGTTCAATATTACCTTCAGACTTCAAAATTCATGCTTCCTTTGGTACATGCTACACATGCACACCACAATGTCCGCTACTACTTCTGCCAGAATTTCCCACTAGGGATACTATCTAAAAAAAAAACCCACATTTATTCCATGATCTGGCTGGCTGGGTTTGAGGGATTGCTCTATGCACAGCACACATCCAAAGAGGAATGCAACACAAATCGCACCAACCTTCAATAGCTACCAGATCTGGTGTCAAGCGTTGATAGAGACGCTTTGCCTTGACTGCAGTAGATACATCCTTTCCTTTGTCCAGCAAGTCAATAAGAACTGCAGAACACACACATACGTGGCAGAAAATGAGTCTTTGATACTTCAGTGTGGGCGTTGTGTGTGTGTGTGTGGGGGGGGGGGGGGGGTAATGCCAGCACAAGTTGCTATGTCTAACATAGCTTGTTCAGTCAATGTTCACTATCATCGCGTCAGCGATGGGCACGTGAAAGTGGAAATGGAAGTGTGTGTGTGTGTGTGTGCGCGCGCACGCACGCGTGGGGGTGGGGTCTTCGAAAAGAAAGAGACCAAGAACTCGGCAGAAATTCCTCATTCCGGTGCATAAGCTGACTGACTAAACGATCAAAGGGGGAAGTGTGCTCCCAGTGCACAGTACATACCTTGCAATACACTCACAGTGCACAGTACATACCTTGCAATACAGTGGACGGTATGGAGGGCCCACCACCGGCACCCACTACCGCACGAACGGCAATCGTATCATTCTGCAAACACAACAAGACGGTGAAACGCAGTCGGGACATAGCCGTCGCCAAGGTGAACTGCTTGCCAATACTTCCACAAGTGATGCACGTACTACCACAAGTGATACACTCTCACGACATCATGCACAACTTCGGTGGATTGTTATTCAGCTCCAAGTTAGCAGTGCATGCAGAGATGAGACCTCGGCGAAATCTCATATATTGCGGAAAGCAGGACAAATAGCTTCGTTGCAGACTGCGCCATTGCTGCAGGACACTCAGATTGCCTGGAGAGGCTGGTAGTTCAGTGCACTGGCTGTGCATGCGTGCCACAAATCCCTTAACAGCACCAGCATATACACCCACCCACGACAATATTGTTCCTACTGAAATGGACTTCTCAGCCCCAGTCCATATTGAAACAAGCACCAAGAGCCCACCGGAATCTATTGTGAAATGCACATGGTTACATTACCAGTTGCGTATTTGCAGCAATAACTGGCGACATTGATGATAGCGGTCGCTTGTGCGGCTTGATGAAGTTAACCTGGCGGCATTGGACCAAAACACAATGTCGTTCATCTGACTTCAATAAACAAATTTTCTGCTGGCAAGCGTGCATGCCAACAGTTGAAAAGTATGCGTGTGAAGTTTTCTTAAACCCGGCTGTTGAGCCAATAATAAAATGTAGAGAAAGGTTACGAGTTAAGAGTAACTGTCCACCACTCTTCTTACCTTCCCCTCTTTGGTCTCTCCTTAACCTAGAACCTACCAGGTTGGACAACTGTTGGTTGCGTTTCGGAGATATGTTAAAGCTAGGTGGTAGGTCGTCGGATGTCTGAGTACTCTGTCAGTTTTGTGCCTAGTTGTTGCACTTTCTGGCTGTATAATTATAGTATCTAGTTACAATGGTGGACAGTTACTCTTAACTCGTATCCATATGTTCCATTCCTTTCTCTAAGTTAAGTTTTCTGCTGATGAATTGGCACTCTGGATAAAAGGGAAAGTTAAGCCTAAAATCAATTCTTCACCAGTTGTAGTCTTCGGGGTGCTAAGTCGAATGGTCTTGGTCCAAAACGCTCCCTTCTCCTGTATTCCCAATCGAACTCGCGCACTTCCACCGAAACTGGGTGACTGCACCCTACTAGTAGGGATTTCAGGCGGTTTTTTGTTGTCAACAGTGCATACTGCAGTTATGGCTCCAATGAAAGATATGGATGTGATTATCAACCAGCAAAAAAATCAGAGCAATCGGCCAAGGGAAACCAGAGTTATGATCATTTGAATACGGGTGGGTACCCTTCATCGGCAAGTATACAATTAGGATGGGAAGCACGGCACAAAACGGGTTTCAAGAAGGCCATAGCAACACCCTAGCAACAGCCCAAAGTGCTCCAATTCGCACCAAACTTGGACAGCATGATTGGTGGAGCCCACCGGTATAAAATCACTGAATATTTTTTTGAATTTTCAAAAACTGAACAGAAATAACAACAATGGCGTCCATAGCAACGACCTTAGCAACAGGCTTAGAATCTATGAAACTGCTGCTCATTGTATCAAAATTCACCTGTTGGATAAATGTACATACTGATATGGCATAGCATACATGTACCAATTAATGTTTGAACAAGAAACAGGACAATGAGCTTCCCGGCCGAAGTAAATATATAGCATACATGTATCTACAAGTGACGCGCTCAGCAAAAGTGGTTGCGACTGGCCTCACAATTAATACGCGACATTGCAATATTCACATGCCAGAAGGAGAGACAGAGGCTCAGCAGCAGCAACAACAGCACTCTCACACACCATTTCAAGCATACATATAGACCTGTTCATCCATGAACACGCGCACCCACCACCAGTCCGTGCGCCAACACCCACCCACACGCACACGTGTGTGCGCGCGCGCGCGCGCACACACACATACACACACACACATATACTACTACTATAGCATGACTGCCCCATAGGGCCACGTCACTCCCTTGTGACAGGGAGCCAGAGTCAGGGTAAGAGAGTCAATGCTGGCGAGCCACATGCCGGTTGACATCTCGTTTTAGCTGAGAACGTTTAAAGCAACCAGAGGAGAGGAGGAGAGTCAATGCTAAAGGCCGATGTGTCAGGTTCGGCTCTGAGATGTGTCAGGTTCGGTTCGTGGAACACACAACAGATTTCTGCAGTTTCCCTTTTTCTTGCTAATTCTTCTTCCAGATCAATGATTTTCTTTGACAGGCTTTCAACAGAATTTTTTTCAAATTTACTCGCATTTTCTTTTTGAATGTCACACGATTCAGTACCGACATTATGTGCTGGGATGATATCCAGTTCAGGCAGAACGAACGGCTGACAAAGCAGTTCGCTGATGGCGTCCTCGGCTTTGTCCTTCAGCAGCTTCTTCTGTCGGTCTCTCACCCGCTTGACTTTCGTCCCAACTGCTTTCGCGTTCACTTTGTCTATTTCCTTGCCATCCACTGCTGACAACAGCAAAATCAGCGACTGCAAATTTATTTGCGTGTTTGTAGTCCACGACAGATGTTCAAGAACGAGGCTGTTCGTCAGCTGGCCAGGACTATCCACTGCTACCCGCCCTGATGGCGAGTCAAGACGGAGCGCATTGCAACTGTTTACGCGTCAGAGACAGCTTCTTGCACAGAGGGCCAATCCAAGACTCGTCTTTCTCGCACGCCATGGCGTTCTACTAAATTTCGCGAACAACCGCGACTCGTCAGCAAGATACAAGGAACTGATCTAAACTAAATCGAGGGTGCAGAATCCGATTATCGATGTTGCGAGTGTGTGCAATGCTTGCATCAAATCGAAAATCGACTTTGAAATCATTGAAAGACGCACGAATCCAGTCTTTTTTACGCCATTTCACCGAGATTGGTACCAAATGAAAGCTCAAAACCTCTACTCTCATGTAAACCCGTTCGATTTTGTCTCCAAGCGTCACTGCACCATCCAGTGACAGTTGAACGCCTCCGCAAAAATTGTGCCATGCGCAGATCCCCAAATCAATGCAGCTGCATGAAGGCTCTTTCGGGCCAAAAAGTCACGTGACTGAAATCCCTACTACTAGACAGGGATTTGTATCCAAAACGTCACGAAATGCGCAATTTCGTTCTTATAAAAGCACGGATGAACGCGATTGGCCCATGTGTTGTAGTCTTTTGGACGCTGAGTCGACTGGTTTTGGTCCGAGAATGCTGCGATGGAGCGTTCGGCCCTTATTCCCAATCGAACATGGTTGAACAGTCACGTGCTCCTATGTACACCAGTCACCTGATCACCACGCCAGCAGGCAACAACTTTCACACCAAGGTTCAACTCGAGTTCAACTCGAGTGGCAGGAATGCGCCCAAACAGGCTGTAAGTTGTACCTTGCAGACCTCTAGATTATGTAGGTGGATTCACCGTGACCGCACACCAGAAACATGCACACATTACGCTTGTCAATCGCACGCACTCAGTGCCCTACCTCTGCTGGTGGAAAGCCATGCAAGTCGACCGTGTTGGGGATTGAGAAATCATTCATGGCGTTGTTCAGTACAATTCCGTCCACAGTGCTCAGAAGAGATCCAAACGGACTTCCAATCGATCTGCAATGGCACAGAGTCAGCACGAGATAAAGCGGATCATTGCAAGTGAATGAAAGAGCAAGGCCCTAAGCACAGTGGAACACTGCTATGTCACTGTACAGCAGTTGGCATGCACACCGTGGGGAAGATTAAAGCTCTCCCCCACCCCCTTCCCATCGATCAACACCACCACCACTATCACTGCCCCCCTCCCCGCACACACTCCTCTTTTCCGAAGGAGACCTCGCATCCCCGTTGTTTGTATCATAATCGGTACCTAATCGCCAATCTGCAGGGAGGACCAACATCTTGAGTTTCATCTCCGCTGTTCCTTTCAGTGAATGCCAGTATAAAGACCAATGTTCTGCACACACACACACACACACACACGGGCCAAGCTGTGTATTAGCTACCACACCATGCCTATGGTATACGTACTCGGTTACTGACACTGCCTCCTGTTCACCTCGCTGCACCGACACCTGCACAGTACCCGGGGCGGTGGTGGTCGCCGACGAGGCGCCGTAGTAGGACAGTGGCTGCGTGGAGTTGTCGCGGATCATTGCGCGCAGTCGATCCCCTTCCTCTTGGCTACATGCACGCAGGTACACACACACACACAAAGACACACACACACACAGACACACACACACACACAAAGACACACACACACACACATAGCACAGTGATCTTATCATGTACATAATTTTTACGCAGGAAAGAAGAAGGAATTAAAATACATTGCAGAAAACAGATCTGGTGAGAATCAGTCAAACACGCACTTCACTCGGAGATCAAAATCTGGCAAATTCACGACTGGTGTTCTGCTGGTCTGCTGTGGGTTTGCTAGTGAAGTTGTAGTCAGCTTTGAAACACATATATGTAGAACTCAGTATAAAGTCCATGCACTATATGATGTCCAGCACCCTATCTAGAGTCCATTTGTCCAAAATCCCTTATACAGAGTCCAGGAGTCCGTTCAGTTTTGATACCTTCAGAGTTCAGCGCAGTACTACATCCACAAACAGTCACAGAGGCGGAACTAAGGCCTCCACAAACAAGCACCAATCACCAATCGGTCCATTCTCCATACCTGATCATTGTGGCAACAGCAGCTGCCACTGATGATTCCAAGTCGGGGTCAGCTATTTCCGAGCGACGGACAAACGCAAACTTGATGGCCTATATCGAGCAAGCAGAAGAATACCCAGCGGTAAATAATCCTGTAAGCATGCGTTGACATTGGATTTGTCTATTCATCTTTCCGGATTACAAGTTAATCATGGATTTTTTCAATAAAGTTTTTTGAGCCTAGAAGATACTTCCTCCGCTAAGCAAAACTTCGTTGCGTTTTTACAGTTCAGTCCAAAGCATTCTATGGCTACCAAAACACTTCGCAAAGTGGAAAACAAAGCAGCATATGAGAGATAGTTATTTACAGATGTCACACAGCTCGTTTCAAAGCAGTCCAGCTTCATTCTTCGTCTGAATTTGATGACGACTCACTCCTTGATGACATCGAGTCGGCATCCTTGCTGATTTTCGCTTCCAGCGCTGCCAGCTTTTGTCCTGCATCTTTTACAAGTTGCCGAGACACGATTTGATCGTGGAGATCGCCAAATTCTTCGCTTGATTTGTGAGCTTGACGACCTCCACGGCTGCGCTGGTAATTGTTGTCTCTGCCGCTCTGACCTCTCCAGAATGCCATGGAAAGAGCCATACGGACACAACCAAACGCTCCTCATCCTGGCAGCGGGGTACGCGTGCCAGCACGTTTCCACAGCCTCAGCTGCTTGGAGAAGTTCCTTTCTGGTCTCCTTTTCCACGAGTGACACGTCTGTCTTCAGGCTGTGGAAGAACGCCAAGTCGTTGACGTTGAGATGGGGACTTTGCGCAGGCTGAACAACAACCTGAATGTCGAACCCTTTTGCTTTCCCCTGCGCCACAAACACACGTGCATTGATTTATTTTGGCTATGTGCGGACGAGCATCGTGCTGGTATCGCAGTGGCTGGCCAGCTTCTGCATGAACTCTGGGTACTTCAAGCCACGCGGCTTCGGTGTCATGCGCCTGGGTTGTGTTCTGGTGACATCCTGTCAAGAAACGGTTATGCTTCGCCGATTTTTTAAAGGACTCCACGCTTTTTGGAAGTTGAAAAGCCTGTCAAAGCAAAGGACGACACAGCGGCTACCCTATTTAGGGGATAGATCACTGATATGTTTGTCTAATGCGGACAGAAAGATCATGACAAGAACACAAAAAAAACGCAACGAAGTTTTGCTTAGCGGAGGAAGTAATACAGAGCAGTCACCATTGGTCAATGAATTCTGGCCGTACAGTGAATACGCCAGCCTTCGGGCGTGATGCAGCCTCAGACGTGCAAACACTGGACCGTGCACTGCGGTCTGGTTCCGAGTGCCGGCGTGTACACGAGTTCAGATCGCATCGAGCATGTCTGCACACGAGTCATCAACTCTATCGGGAAGTGAGAGTCTACACAGCTGAGTTCAGCAGGCGATCACACAAATACAAGGCAAGATCTCACGAGTTTTCAAGAACTGCACTTAATACCGTATTTACTGGAGTATAAGCCACGCTTTAAACACCAGAAATTCACCCAAAAAGTCAATGTGGCTTATACTACGGTTGTCGAATTGACCGTGATAACCGGGGTAGATGTCTGTATTTTGTGACAAAAATCTGGGTGAGGCTTATACTAGTGGAAGACAGTAGTTTTGAAGATGAGAAACAGTATCAATGGCGACATGCGGTCGCGTCTTACCTCGATCATTCTGTGAAAGGAGAGTGTGGAGTCGGACAGCGGGCCAAAGCCGCGGAGGATCTGCATCGCCGATAGCAGTGTGGCACCGCTGGACGGTGGTGGGCTGGTGTGCAGCAGATTGGACCCTGCCGTCACCGGCAGACACACACAACGCAAATCACAAACCTCAGTGTCATCGACACTCGTGCCTCGGTTATCCGGACCCCGAAGTTACGGGCACTTCGGTCTACCAGGCACCCTTTGGACGAGTTTCAGTGGAAATATTACTACTCTTTTGTCACTTTTGTGCAAATATTGACGTCATACAGTCAACTTCGCCAATAACGACATTCGGCGGGGCATCAGAAAAGTGTCCTTATTCGCGAAGTGTCCTTATAACCGAAGTCCCATTTGAATGTATGTGAACCCATATTTTGTATAGTATGACATGCATATCAAAATCAAGCTCTTTTCTTGCTCTATGTCAATGTGTACTCTATTTTCATATTGCAGTTGAAATGAACTAAAAATTCGATATGCAAGGGAAATCAATTGAAAAATATGCCTTTTTGGGCCATCTACAGGACCAGAGACATGTACATGTACGATGATGTAAATGTATTATGATTACTGTATAATCATGTACAACTACATGTACATTGTATACATATAGGTGTGCTGGTAAATCCAACAATTTTGAAGCCAACATAAAAAAGGAAGAAAAAGCCCCTCCCCCCCCGGCCCCCTTGGCTGCATTTTCTTGCATGTGCATGTGTGCCTATAATAATATACATCACCATAGGTTCCGGTACTTCTGCATGATAGGTACATTGTACTTGACTGACAGGTACTTGAAATAGCTGTCAAAAGCCCAGAAAGTCGTTATTCAAGCAGTGAATAATGACCTCGGGGCACTAAAAGCATGTCGCTATACGCGAATTGTCGTTATTCAGATAGTCGTTATATCCGAAGTTAAATGTATACAGTTAGATGGGACTTTGCTCTGGGCATGGAAATTCGGTCGTTATTCGCGAATTGTCGTTATATCCGCAGTCGTTATTAGCGAAGTTGACTGTATACCATATCTATGACCTTTCTCCGTCAACATGTGTGTGATACGGAGTTGCGGACATTTCAAAGTCACGAGCAGTGCCCGGTCCCGGACTGCCCGGATAAACGAGGCATGAGTGTAGTTAGTACTAGCTTACCACGGGGACTGCCAACAAATACAATTCAGTGTTTAAAGATATACAAAACACAGACAGCTAGCAAGAAAGCAAATGAGGAAAGCTCTTATTAACAGTTACATGCAGGACAGAGATCATAGAAGAGCACTAAATACGGCGGCACGGACTACAATGAACAGCAATAGCGTGTGTAAAAAGGAAAAGGACATATGGGTACAAGTTAAGAGTACCTGTCCACCACTGTCACTAGATGCTATACACAGTCAGAAAAGTGCAACAACTAGGCACAAAACTGACCGAGTACTGAGACATTCGACGACCTGACACCTAGCTCCAACACATCTCCGAAGCGCCAACCAACAGCCTTATGTCCTTTCCCTTTCTAAAAAAAATGTACTATTGGCTCAGCATCCGAGTTTCAAGTAGAGCGTGTGATTACCATCAGGTGTTGTGCTGCATTCGTAATTAGTTACTTACGTATGGTGGCAGAGAGTGGAGGGCGCAGCACAGCTCGGTACGCCGCCAGGTCCTGCAGGGTCATACTGCCGCCGGCTGCACGGACCTAAGAGATCGTGAGAGGATGACACGCCATACACGCACACGCCCAATGTCACGTGAACATTCACCATGGCATGGGCCCCTGTGTGGCAATCTCTGTCAAAACGCGGGACCATGACCACATCTCATTACTGTTACATTAATGCATGCACAATTGCAGAGACGAGACCAATTGGTTGAAATCTTACTCCAGTGCAAAGTGAGCACCACTAACATGGCTTGGTTGGGAAGCCAAGCATCTAACGATCTCTGGGGCATCGTTCCTGGCTACCATTCTGCTTAAATTAACGGTATGGCACGGGCCACACACACAGCAAGAAGCCAGCAGCTACACATAGCCAGCAATCGCATGTCATCACGTACATTCAAAATCAACATAATTTTTCGAATCGACCTTTTTTTCAGGATCACTTTTCAACGAGGACGAAGCAAAGTCGGCCGAACGAAGCCTAGAGGAAGAAAATCACCCTCTCCACTTCACCATCACGATACTGACATAGATACGAGATGAAACAACTAAAAAATCCACAAGAAAACTGTACGGCCATCATCGCGCTGACTTTGGTCTGACTTTGGTCTGAGAATTTCTATCACGATCAAAAATGTACGAGGAGCACTCAAAAATAAGCAACAGACGTACCTCTATCGCTCTCTACTCCTTTTTCAAGGCACAAAAGTCGACTCTCCACTTTCAAACCAGGAACCAGACATACCAGTGGTCTTTTTCAGCTGCTCCACGAGCGCAGGAAATGTTCACCAAGGGGCGCAGAGCAGCATCCATTCCAGAAAAAGAGCTAAAATACGAGTGAGACTGCATGCCTGAGTACACGAGTACATGTATGAGTACATGCAGAAAATAGTCAATTTCAGCGTTTCTGCTCCAAACAGCAACTAGCTTCGACTAGAAACAAAGATTACACCAAAGGATCAAACAACAACCATTTTCTGCAGTTTTTTTGCAGATGGCTTCCTTGTGCTGGGCCCAGCACGCCAAAAATCACACCTCGGAGGAGTACAAAAATTACAACTCTCAGATGTCCTCGATTGCTGGCCATGAAGAAACAAGTCGGTTTCCCTGGTCTTATGGTGTGCATATTATGCATGCAACTTACTGCATCCACAATCCGCTGGCTGATGCTGGAGCCGTTGTAGATGATGTCGCCACTGCCACTGTCAGCCACCGACTGAAGTAGATTGGCTAGTTGAGGTCGCCGGATAACAGCACCAACCTGGACAGAAGAGGAGCATTCCACGTGAAATCGTACGTACACTTAGCCATAGCCAAGCAGACTATTCCTTAGGGTTTGCGCCCACGCGTTCTAGCTTGAGCTCACTTGAGAGCCCACTTGGCTGCTATGACAACTAGAAGCATGTGCCTATGTATGTGGCATGTACAAAAAACATCCTTCAGCAAACCGTTTGCCATTTTGATGTTGTCTGCTTCAAGTGAGGCTAGTTTTAGTGCAGAGCTGTCGTGAAATTTCGTGATAGTAGCCAGTGGGGACCTGCGATGCCGCACTGCTTGCAATGGCCTGCCAATATTCTGTATGTTGGCTGATGTTTGCATTTCATGAAACTCAAGAGTTACAACTAGCCTGGTGCCTTTCTTGTTCAGTGGCCTGTCAATACAAACCATTCTTGAAGTGAAAGTCCCCTGCCCCCATATTGTCACTCCACAGTCTTCAAATTGATTCACCTCATCCTCTCTTTCTTTCTTTCTCTCTCTCTCTCTCTCTCTCTCTCTCTCTCTCTCTCTCTCTCTCTCTCTCTCTCTCTCTCTCTCTCACACACACACACACGCGCGCGCGCGCACACACACACACACACGCACGCACGCACACACTCGTCAGACCTTGGCAATCAATGCCTGGTGCCCTTGGTTGACGGAGTGCAGAAAAGAGTCAAGTTTGCCCTGTTTCCTGCCTTTGCTACTTCCGCTACTGCTGTTGTTGCCGCAATTCCTTTCCTTTCCCCGCATACGCATTTCATGCAACTTTTCAAACGATTAGAAACAGTGCTTGTACCATTCACACATCCAGGGGAAAAATCGAACAACAAAATACATTGATAAGAACCTCACCCATTTTCCAGTCATTGCATATTAATAGGGTGCATGAGTGCATGCTTACGGGAAGAGGAACGCCATCGGCTGTGAACAGTAGGCTGTGAAGGCTGGGGTTGGACTGCTTGAGCTGCTGCTCCTTCTGTATTGCCCAATCGCCTGTACAAGACACCCAGGCAATAGTGACACCAACCGTGGCAGAGCACCACAAAACATCTCAGCGCAGCAACACAACACTGTGTGACAACAGGATGGTTTCTACGAGAAAGACGTTTGACCATAGGTACCTGTCCAGGAGCGGATCCAGGGGATGTGTGTGTGTGGGGGGGGGGGGGGGGGGGGTCCGGGGTCCGCGGAACCCCCTAAACTTTGCAAATATACTACTGGAAACCATATGCATGCACGTCTGTATCAGCTATTCAGTTTTGGCTAAACTGGACCCCCCCCCCCCCCCCCCCCCCCGTGTCTCTGTATCTCTGGATCCCCCCCCCCCCCCCTGCAGTAAAACCATAAGAGCAGCCACACAGTCAACCAGGCAGATTAGCAACGCGGCAGATATCCCTTGTAGTGCTTACGGGTCGGCTTTTCCAGTGGAAATCCATTGCGGGCCAGCACCACTGACGGCTGTATCAACGAGGACCACGATGTTCTGCGATGTCACAACAGCAGAGAAGATAGTTGGAGAGACTTGTCGGCGCAATACATGTACCACAGAACTATAAAACACATGTGTGGGACGGAATCGGGCATTGAGGCTTATAATAGTTAGACGGAAAGCCAGATTATCAGAATAGTGATGCATGCAGGACTCACCCTATAATTATCAGTTTGTTTCTTCTGCACATGGATGAAAGTCTTATTTTATTTTACTAGAACAGACAGGTTGATAAATATGGTGGTAAAGACACACCTGGCAAAATGGCGGTAAACACACGCCTGCCCACACACGCTCTCTAGGCTGCAAAGGTCTGGCACAGAGCTCTCCTTCTCACCACCACCACCATCAGTTCGCGCCTGGCGCCTGGTCGATGCATGGTTGGCGGTATCCGGCATAGCAGGCTGGTACATCAAGTAGTGCATGACACATAGCAGATGACACAGCAACGACATAGCTCGATTGCGACGTACGTTTCGTCCCCGCTGGACTCATCAGGCAATCTTCTTCTTGGATGTCTTCACACGGAGCTTGACTCGGGAGAATGATTTTGAAGACACCACTGCAGCTGTACTTATGGTTGATAAATATGGTGGTAAAGACACACCTGGCAAAATGGCGGTAAACACACGCCTGCCCACACACGCTCTCTAGGCTGCAAAGGTCTGGCACAGAGCTCTCCTTCTCACCACCACCACCATCAGTTCGCGCCTGGCGCCTGGTCGATGCATGGTTGGCGGTATCCGGCATAGCAGGCTGGTACATCAAGTAGTGCATGACACATAGCAGATGACACAGCAACGACATAGCTCGATTGCGACGTACGTTTCGTCCCCGCTGGACTCATCAGGCAATCTTCTTCTTGGATGTCTTCACACGGAGCTTGACTCGGGAGAATGATTTTGAAGACACCACTGCAGCTGTACTTATGGTTGATAAATATGGTGGTAAAGACACACCTGGCAAAATGGCGGTAAACACACGCCTGCCCACACACGCTCTCTAGGCTGCAAAGGTCTGGCACAGAGCTCTCCTTCTCACCACCACCACCATCAGTTCGCGCCTGGCGCCTGGTCGATGCATGGTTGGCGGTATCCGGCATAGCAGGCTGGTACATCAAGTAGTGCATGACACATAGCAGATGACACAGCAACGACATAGCTCGATTGCGACGTACGTTTCGTCCCCGCTGGACTCATCAGGCAATCTTCTTCTTGGATGTCTTCACACGGAGCTTGACTCGGGAGAATGATTTTGAAGACACCACTGCAGCTGTACTTATGGTTGATAAATATGGTGGTAAAGACACACCTGGCAAAATGGCGGTAAACACACGCCTGCCCACACACGCTCTCTAGGCTGCAAAGGTCTGGCACAGAGCTCTCCTTCTCACCACCACCACCATCAGTTCGCGCCTGGCGCCTGGTCGATGCATGGTTGGCGGTATCCGGCATAGCAGGCTGGTACATCAAGTAGTGCATGACACATAGCAGATGACACAGCAACGACATAGCTCGATTGCGACGTACGTTTCGTCCCCGCTGGACTCATCAGGCAATCTTCTTCTTGGATGTCTTCACACGGAGCTTGACTCGGGAGAATGATTTTGAAGACACCACTGCAGCTGTACTTATGGTTGATAAATATGGTGGTAAAGACACACCTGGCAAAATGGCGGTAAACACACGCCTGCCCACACACGCTCTCTAGGCTGCAAAGGTCTGGCACAGAGCTCTCCTTCTCACCACCACCACCATCAGTTCGCGCCTGGCGCCTGGTCGATGCATGGTTGGCGGTATCCGGCATAGCAGGCTGGTACATCAAGTAGTGCATGACACATAGCAGATGACACAGCAACGACATAGCTCGATTGCGACGTACGTTTCGTCCCCGCTGGACTCATCAGGCAATCTTCTTCTTGGATGTCTTCACACGGAGCTTGACTCGGGAGAATGATTTTGAAGACACCACTGCAGCTGTACTTATGGTTGATAAATATGGTGGTAAAGACACACCTGGCAAAATGGCGGTAAACACACGCCTGCCCACACACGCTCTCTAGGCTGCAAAGGTCTGGCACAGAGCTCTCCTAGAACAGACAGAATATGATAATTAATAATTGGAAGTCTTTTTGTCTAGATTTCGATAGTGTGAATCTGAAAGGATTCCACTGCACATGAATCTCAATTTTCCCAGTACCTACTTTCCAAACATCTCGTGGGCAAGGCTTAATCCTTTCATTTGGCCTGGCACCGCCACAGACAAACCGCCCTGGGCAGCACAACAGAAACAGAGGCAGACCATGAAGGCATCCATTGAAACACTTATCCAAACAGTAACCGTGAAGCCTACGCTTAGTGCCTCTCCTCTTCCCCTCCGTCAAGGTGCACGGAAAGCTGGTCTTTATTGGTCTTCATTGGCAGGTGATCTTTATTGGCAGGTGGTCTTTCTACACAGGTGGTCTTTTCACACAGGTCACAGGGAAAATTGAAGCAGGAATGGTACCCGAGGCGGGTGGTCTTTAGAACAACAACCTTGGTTATGAACCCAACTCGCAAAATGACACCACAATCTTCAGGGCCAATGTCTTTTTTTCGGCCTCACAAATAAATAGCGACAATTATTAGCGAATGAGGATTAGCCGGGGAATTTTGAAGTTCTCCCAATCCTTTAAAACATTTGCCAATAACGACACTTTTCTCGTACCCGATCAAGGGTCGTTATTTGCAAGGGGTGGGGAGGGTGGGAGGAGGAGAGACCGACAGATAAAGAGAAATGTAAGAGAACACTGCAGGAGAAGTCATGACCGCTTACCCAGGACATAAAATGCCGGGCTGTGATACACACACACGCACACACACACACACACACACACACACACACACACACACACACACACACACACACCTCAGACTTGCCCATCGTGGAAGCGATGATAGCGAACAGCTATGTTAGACATAGCAACTTGTGCTGGGATTACACCATTCACCGGCTTGCAAGGCTGATGAATTGACCGCCACTATTTTTAGCCTGGTATACACCACACAGCTGATTGAAGTGACTTTTTCTGGCCAGTGAATCCCTATTTTAATTTTTCCATTTTTTTCTACACACACACACCACATACACACACACACACACACACACACACACACACACACACACACACACACACACACCACATACACATACACACACACACACACACACACACACACACACACACACACACATACACATACACACACACACACACACACACACACACACACACACACACACACACACACACACACACAGATCACAGATCACATACCAGCTGTGCTTTGCTTGAATCTGCGTTGAACATGTCCCTGCTTGCCGATCCCGGCGCCATCTCCCGGTAGTCAATGGAGGTGACGTGACCGCTTGCGTTGCGTATCAGCATTGTTCCACCGCTGTCAACACAAACATGAGAACGGTCACAGCAACAAACAGTAAATACATTGGTTAGTCATGCAGGGGAGTCGGACATGGTACGGTCACTACGGTATTGACCGTACCACTATTTGCCCCAGGTACCCCGTGCATCTATGACATACTCCGTCATTAGGGCTTTAAATTTCCAAAATGTTCGGCTCATGAGCTCAGCCACCTCTCCTCCACGAGTAAATTGTACTTCAGATGGCAGACCGTGCCGCACTAAAGTACCTTCCGACATTGCCCCTGTTAGTAGTTGCACGTGAGGCTACAAGAGGTGTGTTGCTTACCTCGGCCTAACCTTCTTGATCATTGCATGGCTATACGACATACAAGTACTTGAAGTAACCAATATAATTAACAGTACACTCATGGCTAAACGGAGTACATGGTTTGCGATGTTGGCCGCTCCTACGTGGAGCTTGCGCTTCCGACCGAAGTACTTGACAATTGACCAATTCACAACCTCAATCAGGAGCCCCACTTTTGTAATTCTGCAAGACCACCACCCCCTACTCAACACACTGTGTTCCGGGGGACCCCATGGTTACTTAGTTGAGCTTGAGAACGCGACTGAAATGTTTGCTCTGGCAGCCCTAAACATCACCACTAGGCACTAGGGATACAATCCAGCCGTGTAGCCCGCATGGGGCAGGGGGGGGGGGGGGGGCACGTGCATCCCCTAAAAATGTCGACCTGCATGTAGGTTCAGCATGCACATAATGACCAGGAATGACATGCACCAGCCATCCTAAACATATGCGGCCATGCACCCCCCCCCCCCCAAAAAAGGGTGACCAGGTATGCCCCTGTGAAACGAACAGTGCCGCTCCGTTTCCAGCCGGCGACAAACAGCTCGTGAAAAGGCCTGGTAGCAGCACGAGTCAGTGTCCTCACGGAGTGGTGAGAAACAGACTTTGCAAGCCATTCGCTATAGGGCTTGAAAGTGCTACGTCACAGCATAGCAACAATTTCAAAAATTCAAAAATTGGATCCACTTGGATCCAGTTTTGGTATGGATCCAAGCACATTTCAAGCCGTCTTACTCACAGCAAAGTGATGTAGCCAGGGAAACTGACTGATTTGGCTACTGGGGGCGGGGTTACAACTGGTGGCGAAGTAAAAGTCACCCCTGCATACGACATGAGTGGGTTGCTATGCACCCACATACTGAGGCAATAGCAAAGTCACACCTTAGTGGATCCAAAATATAAATCTGATGTCAACTAACTACTCCCTGGCCGTTTTTGACGTCATCACTTTCAAGCCCTATTCACTGCACTGTTGCCTCCAACAACTAGTTGCATGCCCACGTTAGGGACAACCGTACTTCTGCTAAGTTTGAAGCAGCACATATGAATGACTAGTATTAGGAGGCTGTAGCAGGACTCTCTTGGGATTTTACTAGTCACTGATCGAGAGAATCCTGATCCGCACGCGTACCTGCATATTATACAAATTACCGGTTTTGGTGACCATCTTGCCCCAATGTCACCCGCCGAGTGAACACGGGTCTGAGGCAATCGTCAAAGTGTTTGTGTTTGCTCGTGTCACCCCCTGGTGTTTTACTACCCCCCCCCCCTCCCCTCCCCTGGTTGAAACTGAGTACAGTACATGTAGTAGCGAGGTCAAACACGTGACCAGTTCAAGGACTTCGCTTGTCGCGCTTGGCCCATTGAAAATCGATGATGTAATGGCACATAGGTTTTACCCGAGTTTTCGAGATTTACGGGAGGCATACAAAACTGACCTGCGCTTGATCTTCGCTTGTGCAGTCTCCTTGCTCTTTTTGGGCGATTTCAAGTTTTTAGTCCTTTGGTTAGGCTATGGAGCAATGCCTCCACCCGTTCGCGCGGCGTCCAGACGTTTCTCTGTCGACACGCTGTCTCTCGCTTTTTGCCAATATTCGAGGGCGGGTTTCGATCCTTGCGCCTCTTGTTACGCCTTAGGTTGTTGCGACATCGTGTTCAGCGCCCCCTAATCCTTCGGACTACCAAGTTTCATTGGCGTAACAAGAGGCGCACCGACGTTATGGCTCCCGACTGGTGTCACTGTCCAGCGGCGGCGGAGGATTGCTTTGGGAAGGCATGTGCACCAATCTAAAAGGCAACAGAAGCAAGCGAATCGCCATCAATCCGATTAAACTTCGCTTGCGTCTGGTGTGCAGCATTTTGTATCTATTCAGAAGCTTGTCCAAGTTGTTGGTGATGAAGGCAAGGAGATGGCTACTTCAGTCCCAGGTACTGTTTCGAAAGGCTATGCCTTTTTTGCAAAGTTTTGTCCAATTGTATGTATCATTTCAGAAATGGAAACTATTTCCAAACTTCCAACGCTGTCAGTGTTACTCAATGAAGGCAACACCGTAGTTGTCAGCCAAACATAGCCTGTGTGAGAGAGAAAGTGAGGAACATTCACTTTCACACAGGCCATGTCTCTAACAAAGTCTTTCTACTACTCCAGAACAAACAATACGTTCTCAGCACAATTATGTTTTCAAATTCCTGATCGTTTGCAGACATTTGAGAAAGCGCTTCCTCCTACATTATCCATCAACAGCAGCTACCGCTCCCGTTGCTACCAACTCGTCATTGGATCCCAAAGACCTTACCATCAGTGGTTCACATCAAACAGTACTGGCGATCCTTGAAGACAATTAGACATTTCCCTTCTCTGCAAAGGAACAAACATTTTCTCTTCAGAAAGTTTTCGGCTCGAGTGCTTGTTATGTACGGCTCAGATCAAGTACACTGCACTCTGCGAGCAGCGCTCGGTGGCGCTAGCATAACAAAGTACACGCACGTGACACTCGAGATTACATCATGCACATCTGAGCCGTCTTGGGACCCGAGTGCCGGGTGCCACTTTTCGAGCTCCCACACGTACATTCGTCGCGACAAAAAATCACGTAGTCGGGCTTCTTTCAACACCCATAACTCCCATCTACCTGCTCTAACTCACCCCAAATTTTAGATTTGAACTCCTGAAGCTCTGAGCTTTCCGTGGATACCCAATTCGATAGGGTTTTCCAAAATTTAATTTTCGCCTGACCTCGCTACATGTAGTACAATCTGATTATGATTTTCTCATACCAGTATTTTTTCTATGCGGAACTCGACAGACCACTGGTCTGCGATATATGCATAGCAGTCATGCTGAGTAGATTTCAATAATAATAGTATGACATTGTATTAAATAATGTTATTGAACCCATCGAGGGGATTTCCACCGTGAATATGTACATACCGGTAACAATTATTGCTGTTTGAAGACTGGCCGAAATGCCATGACACTCGGAGTTACAGCAACAAGATAGACTTGTTCCATTGCAAACTTGTGTAATAAATAATTATTATGCTTTGCGCTCATGGTCAATGTTTACGTCTGTCCTCGTCCTAGTTCTTACCCGCCTATACCGGCCGACTGCAGCCGTACCACGCCCAGGCACACGAGCGTCGCAATGGCACTGTCCACTGCCGATCCATTCCCCTTCAGCACCGAGAAGCCCACCTCGCTGCACGCGCCGGAGTCGCTCGCCACGGCTCCGCGCAAGTAGAGTGTCGGCGTCATGGAATCATTCAGACCGAGCGCTATGCTGATCAACAGGCCGAGCGTTACTAAAGCGGCGAACAGCACGCCGCCAATGATCAGAACAGACAAACTGCTGAACTGGTGGCCGCACAAAGACACCGTGGGCTCTTCAACGGTCTCGGCGACGAGTTTGGCATCTTCGTCGTCATCGTCGATGCCCGATGCGTTATCGGAGTCTGCCTCGACGAACTGGAACTTTTTCTCTGAGGCCATGATACAGGAGCACACCAAGCAGCGCACAGCGTCCAACTAAGAGGCGCAATCACGCCGGACGCTATTCCTCGGGCCAGCAATGGCGAACAGCTTTGCAAGACGGCTGAGCTGCAACTGCCGCCGTTCACTCCCTGCATGCACGCAAGGCCAATATTACAACTTAATACAAGGCGGAGGAGAATATGACTGGAAAAGAGGAAAGCACGCATTCATGTGACCTAACCAGGTGACACTGAACCGTGGACGCAAAGTGCCAGTAGTAGTACCCTACAATCAGTCGTGGCCAAAGAAATCCGACCCCCGCGAAAAGCAGTGCCAAAAATATCCATTTACTACTAGTAGTAGTACTACACTGTCCGAAAGCCCATCCATATCCGAGGGGCTGCAGTGGCCGCATGAGCCGGCCCTGGGTGCTGCTTCAAATCAGCACACAAGCCGGATTTCTTTGGCTACACCTGTACTCTGTAGCATGTGCACCGGCAAACACTAGACGGGTACCGGTACATGCAGAGGGGACGGTTTCAAATAGGACACCGGTTGCAAACCGGAACGGACTCAATATTCACTTTCTCTCTTGGTATTTTGATTAGAAAACATTATGTCACAGTGAGACTACGATGTGTTATACTCCGAGCCAAAATTTCATCGCTCTGCGATGACCAGAAGCGCCATATCAAGCAGGTGAGTTTTTGACGTGTTGCTTCGCACTGCGACTTGAGTTTTACGACTTTCGAAAAATCAACTTCTTGTCGCAGGTAAACAGCGGCTCGCCTCTCGCCAATAAAGCACCGCATACCAATCAAAACTAATGGAAGCACACACAAGGCTTATTGTTACTCTGTACTGGCCGTCGTGGAGCGATAGCAATTACCTAATTTCAGCCCCAGAGTGAATTTGACGTGCACTCTAAAACGTGTCCGGTTTGGAGCCACCTCTGATTTGAACTTTTTTGAAGCGAAAAATTGGGCAACTTGGAGGCAATGGGTCAACACAAAGGAGTGGCTCAGTTCGATTGACTCTGGCCCCAGAGCAAACTTCAACATGCCAGTTTCCTTCCACAAACATATTTCGAGTGAAAAATCAACGCTGATGATCGGTTTGGGTCTATACAAATTTGGCTGTCAAAACGTCCCGGTATCGAGCCGTCCCCTCTACTGCACTAGCATGCTGTGGAGTGTGGTTGCCAGGCGATAGCTACATGTACATGTAGGCGCCAGCGCGCGCTAGCCTAGCCGACGTTTCAGCTCTGGACATCTAATCAGTCCGGAGCAGGGAGTCGTGTGGATCACAATGACTGGGTAGATCTACTCCATGAACTACAATCATGACCAGATGACTACTAGTAATAGTATTATAGTACTAGAAAGTAAACTCAGACATTCGACGTCCTGACACCTACATGTACATCATACATGTACATGTAGCTTCAACACATCTCCGTAGCGCTAACCGACAGCCTTCCAACTGGAGGTTCAAGGTTATGAAAAGACCAAAGAGGAGTGATTTTCAACGAGCATTATGCTAGCATTATAACACTACATTTCCACAAAAGTGGCATTATACTCAAATGGCCCTTTCTAGGCCTTACTTCTGCGAAAACCAGGCTTAGGGTGAAAATCATTTTTTTTGAGAAAAAATGATGTTTTGTAAAAAGTTGTGTCGCGTGGACGCTCGAGCATGCAGTGAAGTGGAACCAAAGAGAATATTGCTTGTTTGAAGAAGTAGCAGTCATGGCAGGTAGCCCTTTCCCAAAGGTGCTCTTTTAATTCGCACTTAGTGCTTTTCGCGTTCCTCAAAATATGCTGAAAAGTGCTCTTTTTTCAGTGAAACTGTGACAGGCCAAAAGTGCTCTTTTTCAGTGAAAACAGGCAAAAGTGCTCTTTTTTCAGTGAAGCATAGCCATGATACATGTTCAGATATGAACCCAAGTTGAGAAATGAATACGCACTCTTCCATTCATGGGTCCACAAAAGGCAAAACAGGAAGTTAGTTCAAAAAACCCACTTTTTACAGCATTGTGTACAAGCTCCACCAACTAATACAATCATGTACTTGTTGCCCCCCCCCCCAAAAAAAAGCGGCATGCCAAGGTCCATCGAGCACTTGGAAACTGTGATCGCATGCATGAGCAAACAGATTTTAGCACTTTTTCAGCTAAAAAAGCTCAAAAAGGACGATAATCACCAAAAAACGTAATTTTATTATTATTAATGCAATGAATATAACTAAATGCGCACTCATATCACAACCATGGGGACGAATCATGTATTCCAGAACGTTTTCTTGTCACTATTATCAATGGAATTCGTGACTAAAGAGAATGATGAAACTACAATAGGATTTATACACTTGGAGTGGAACAGCGAGGATACAAGCATAGTAAGAAAAAATAGCACAAACCTAGGAACAATTTGCACAGGTAATAAACTACATGTATAGGTGAGGTGAGAAATGATAGGAAATTCAGCAAGTGCAGTGTGACAAGAAAACGTTCTGGAATACATGATTCGTCCCCATGGTTGTGATATGAGTGCGCATTTAGTTATAATATTCATTGCATTATTAAGATTATTGTCTCCACGTCGCCTTTTTATTATTATTATTATTATTATTCCACAATCACGATGACATAGTGCCAGTAAGCATGTGATGCGGGCGATTTTAACCAGCCATGGTGGGGACAACTGAGAAAAAGAAGGAGAAGAAAAGAGAAAACAAAACAAAACAAAAGGAGTACTATAGGAACCTGGAGAGAGCAGTATGAAGATTAGGCTAGCAATGGAAAACAACGAATTCAATTCAATTCAACTTAGGCGTGGGCAGAATGAAACAAAATGCAGCGAAGGTGTCACGAGACTTTACCTCCTGCGGGAGCCGAGACCAATGAGAATAGGACTTGAACAGAGGGGATTTTAAAAGGATCGATGATCTGGCAAGTGGGAAATGGAGAGAACATCTAGTACGCGAGCTATTATTGAACCAGCTTAAATGCGCAAGTGCATGAGGAGGAGCAAGTTGAAGCTTAATACGGTGAATGAATTTGCATGCCGAGTAAGGAAAGCGTTCTGAGAGAGGGGAAGAGGAAGCCAAAATGTATAGCGTCTGAGAGGAGGTCAGAGGGGGCATGCGAAATATTAATCGAAGTAATTTACGGTGGGTGACTTCTAACCGATGCATAAGAGCGGAGGATAGACCGGAGGACCAAACGAGAGAGCAGTAATCAAACCAAGGAAGAACATAAGAGTGATAAATTTGTATTCGACAACCATGGTGTAGATGGGAGATGTGAGGAGAAATGCAGCCTATCGCGGAGCAAACTCGCTTTTCAGTATAGGTTACGTGCGAATCCCACGACAAGTGTTCATCAAGAAATATACCAAGGTGTTTGTGATTTTTAACAATGTTGATAGCAATGGGATCATCAGGGAAAGTAAAAAGCCGAGTCGTAAAGAGGGTGAGGTCACTGGAGGGTCGTGGGGGGATGCAAAGGATTGCCGTTTTCGACACATTGGGGCGGAGTTTCCACTTCGACATCCAGCGCCCAACGTGATTAATGTGATACTGTAGCGAGTCGCAGGCTTGCAATAAGCCTGGCTCGGTTATATGGAGCGCTGTATCGTCCGCGTAGAGTGAGGTATGATCCAAACCTGCCAAATCATTAACGTATACTATGAACAATAGAGGCCCCAAGATAGAGCCCTGGGGCACTCCAGAGTGGACTGTTAGAGGGGCGGACAGGGCATGTCCAATTCGGACACTCTGTCGACGTTCAGTGAGATAGCTGGTGAGCCACTGCAGACACGTCCCGGTTACGCCAAACGCTGCTAACTTATGGAGGAGACCCCTTGTCCAGACAGTATCAACTGCTTTGCTCAGGTCGAAAAAACATAGGAGGCTAAATTGCTTCTGATCCTTGCATTCATATAGCTTCTGCACAAGCCTCAGCAACTGCCAGGCGGTCGAATCGCCTCGCCGAAATCCAGACTGTGACGGGTCAAGGACCGGGTTCACATCTTTACTTATAAAAGAGAGGCACCTGTGACGTGTGTCTGTGTGTGTGTGTGTGTGTGTGTCACGCTCCTTATAAAGAAGAGGCACCTGTGACGTGTGTTTTTGTGTCACGCTGAAGCGCTGCGGAGCAGCGCTGCCCTGAGCACGCGAAGCGTGCGAACCAGGGAGTCGTACGACTCCCTGGTGCGAACAGTGCAGCACTGTGTAGCTAGCGCCTAGCGGCCGCAGAAGCACTGCAGAGCAATAGCTAGCGGAAGCAGCCACAGAAGCACTGAGCACGCGAAGCGTTCGAATCGTGTAGCCACCACCACGTGCTGAGCACGCGAAGCGTGCGAACAGTAGCCTGTAGCCTAGTGTAGGTACGGTGGTACCATGGTAGCGCTTGTACTTATACATAGCAGACACGATCAGTACGAGTAGCAGTAGCAGCCGCGCGCAGAAGCACAGTCTGTGCCACTGAGCACGCGAAGCGTGCGAATCATGTAGCCACCTATACAGTACTAGCCTAGGCCATAGCCTATGGCCTAGGCTAGTACTGTATACATGGTATAGGTGGCTACATGATTCGCACGCTTCGCGTGCATAGGTAGCACTACTACTACTAGTACTAGCAGCCGCACAAGCGCTGCGGACCACGTGAACCGTTCTCTGCAAATAGAAACATCTGCAACAAAAGGATACAAAAGATCTGCACTGACTGCACTCTGCATCTGATCTGCGGTGAAGAGCGCATCGCACTTTTGTTCGTAAGTAATAGTTTATGAATTTTTTGAGCCGCTTCATCCACCACCGGCACCATGTACCAGGTGATGGACAACCCTGACCAGCCTCCCGAAGGCGTAACAGACGTCCCTCCTTCTCCTTCCAACGATGAAGAACCTCCCTCACCAGGACTTCAGCGGTCTGGCCACCACCACGTGCTGAGCACGTGTGCTGTTCATGTACTTGCTTCACCCGCATGCCACATTCGGCCAGGCAACGCTGGCGGGGGTGCTGCTAGTGTTGGTATAAGTGGCCAAATACCACACGTTCACAGAGCTTTGAAATGGTGGAAAGGAGTGAAATCGGCCGGTAATTGGATGCAGACAGTTTACTGCCTTTATTCTTGTAAATAGGCACAACCACAGCTGCCTTCCAGACATCAGGGAAGATTCCGAT